GAGCAAGGAGGAAGCTCTTGGACGTATTGCCGCGATAGATGTTGAAAAGGCCGAGCTTGCAAGCACAACCGATACGTCGCTCGATGTGCCCATCAGCCACGTCAAACTCGACCGGAACCGCTTTTCCGTCGCCGGCGCAGCGAATCTGTCTCTCGACGATGTCGAAGCCGTCGATGTCGAAGCCGTCGATGTTCAGATTCGGGGACTGGCCATCTCCGTAGATACAGCGCCTTCATGGCTTGATCCTGGCACATATCCCGAATTATTCTCCGCCGGATTCAAGACTGCGCCTCGTATCAAGACCTTGCTGCATTCCGTCGATGCGGACCTCAAGCCCGGGACTCTGACGGCCATCATTGGGGGCAGCGGTTCGGGAAAGACCACGCTGCTTAATAATCTGGCTGAAAGAGTTGTCAGCTCGAGATTGAGCCAACAAGGCCTGGCGGTATTCAACGGGCAGATGGGTGTGAACAGTGTTAGACACGCCTATGTTATGCAGCAGGATATCCTGCTGCCGACTTTGACGGTTCGGGAGACTCTAAGATACTCGGCTGATCTGCGACTGCCATCGTCTACCAGCGCCCAAGACCGCGAGAGGATCGTCGAGGAGGTCATTCGTGAATTGGGTCTCAAAGAATGCGCCAACACACGTATAGGAAATAGCCAGCACCGCGGCTGCTCGGGAGGGGAGAAGAGACGTGTGAGCATCGGAGTACAGCTTTTGTCGAATCCATCCGTGTTGTTCCTCGATGAACCCACCACCGGATTGGACGCAACAAGCGCCTTCCAGCTCATCAGGACCCTAAAGGCCCTGGCCCAAAAAGGCAGAAACATTATCACGACAATTCATCAGCCTCGGTCTGAGATTTGGGACCTCTTCGACAACCTCATCATCCTATCCAAGGGAAGCCCGGTCTTCTCCGGCCCCGTCTCCGAATGTCTCCCATGGTTCAAGGATCTGGGCCACCAGCTGCCTCCGTTTGTGAACCCGGCAGAATTCGTCATTGACATTGCTGCCGTGGACAATCGTACCCCAGAGCTAGAGGCCGAAACTTCCACCCGCCTCGAAAGCCTGAAAGCAGCATGGAGGATAGAGAGCGAAGGCCGCTTCCCGGCACTACAGGGCATCGCCGAGATGAAGCGGAACAAACACTCAAAAGCAACGACCCACGCCGGATTCCTCCGCCAGGTACGCATCTTAACAGATCGTACCCTAAAGGTCACATACCGAGATCCCCTTGGCATGACTGCGTCTATACTAGAAGCCATCATCATGGGACTCGTGATAGGCTACCTGTTCTACAATGTCGGCCGCGATCAGGCTGGCATTAGATCTAGGGAAGGTCTCCTATACATATGCGTTGGTCTTCAGGGCTATTTGATCCTGATGTTTGAAACGTACCGCCTGACTATCGATATGCCAACATTTGATCGCGAGTCTTCAGAACACTGCGTCGATGCCGTGCCCTACATCTTGTCACGACGACTGGCACGACTCGTGACGGAGGATTTCCCTGTTCCTTTCCTGTTCTCTCTCATTCTGTACTTCATGGCCGGATTTGATCACGATGCTGCCAAGTTCTTCACGTTCTTCAGTATCAGCTTCGTCAACCATTTTGCTTGCATCATGTGCGCATTCACATGTGTCGTGACAGTCAGACACTTCCCGGGTGCTAGTTTGATTGCCAATTTCGCTTTTACGCTGCAGAGCATAGCATGTGGTATATTCATCCAAGTTGATACTATTCCAGTCTATGTTCGATGGCTAAAGTGGGTGACTTGGTCGGTAAGTTCCCCTTCTATACTCTCAGAAATCATACACTTGAAGTCCCTAGTATGTATAATGAGCTAATCGCAGTACCACAGTTTTACACCTTTGGAGCGTATTGTGGCAACGAGTTCCAAGGCAGCTTCTACGACTGTCCCGAACCGGGTGGACTATCGAATCCGGCATGCCTTCAGTATACAGGAGACTACATCATGTCCTCACTCGGATTCCCCAGAAATTGGATTGCTCGCCCGATTGTCTGCCTTGCGGCGTTTGTCATCTTCTTCTTCATACTATCGGCGATTGGGTTACACTATATCAAGGTGGAAATGACCATAGCTCGGCCACGAGTGTCAGATACGGATCTGTCAGCCGGAAAGGAAAAGATGACGGCAAGGTCTATTGCAGAGGTTCGCACCATCGATGTTGAGCTGGAGAATTTCTCCCTTGATCTTGATAAAAGAGCTGCCAATGGCAAAAGGCTGCCCCGAAAAACCATTGTCAAGCCAATCAATGTGACCTTCCAGGCCGGTACCTTGAATATCATCATGGGTCCATCTGGAAGCGGGAAAACATCTCTTCTCAACTCAATGGCACTCCGGCTCCGAAACTCAATAAGCACTCACTATCGTCCATCCGGCAAAATGTCTTTCAACGGAGCAGTTCCGTCGGCATCAGTCGTTCGGTCTGTCTGCTCCTATGTCTGCCAGGATGATGACGCTCTGTTACCTTCGTTGACGGTTCGTGAGACATTGAGGTTTTCTGCCGCGCTACGATTGCCCTCATTTATGAGCAAAGAAGAAAAGTATCGTCGCGCCGAGGAGATCCTTATGAAAATGGGGTTGAAAGATTGCGCAGACAATCTGATTGGTAACGACTTGGTCAAGGGCATCTCAGGAGGAGAAAAGCGGCGAGTGTCCATCGCTGTGCAGATCCTCACAGATCCTCGCATCCTTCTCCTAGACGAACCAACATCCGGATTGGACGCCTTCACTGCAAACTCGATCATGGAAGTTCTTCAAGGACTTGCCCAAGAAGGAAGAACATTAATTCTAACGATTCATCAGCCTCGATCAGACCTGTTCAAACACTTTGGCAATGTGCTGCTCCTTGCCCGTGGTGGTGCGCCAGCCTATGCTGGTCGCGCCAAAGACATGCTCAGTTATTTTAATAGGCAGGGATACCAATGTCCTCAGCATTCAAACCCGGCGGACTTTGCCTTGGATATGATTACTGTTGACTTGCAACGCGACGATAGGGAAGCGGAGAGTAGAGATAGGGTTGAAAAGCTCATTGAGGAATGGAAAAGATATTCATCTGGAGGAGACAAGGAGCAGCAATGGAAGAAGGAAGAAGGGTCAAGGCTTCCAGAGATAACTGAGACCGATGAACTGGACGAAAAGGAAGAACTTGACGATGGAGACGTAGCAGCGGTGAACGACAACAGCGAACCTCTGCCAAAGATTCAGTCTGCCACTTCTCGCAAGTCCTTCAACAAGGCCAACCTTTCAACGCCAGCAGAACTGGGCGCTCTTGTCCATAAGCGTGCTTCCCTCGCCACTGCTGTTCCCCTGCTTCTGCATCGCGCCGTCATCAACACGCGCCGGCAGCCTCAGCTCATCATGGCTCGCACAATGCAAGTCGTAGGACTGGCCATCATCTTCGCCCTCTTCTTTGCACCACTGCATCACGACTACTACGCGGTGCAGAACTGGATGGGCTTCATACAGGAGGTCGGGGCCTTTTACTTTGTCGGTATGCTGCAAAACGTGGCCATCTATCCCACCGAGCGAGACGTCTTCTACCGAGAGGACGACGATGGCGTGTACAGTGTGGACGCGTTTCTGCTTTCCTACACAATCCTCGAGGTTCCCTTTGAGATTCTTAGCTGTCTTCTTTTCGGCATCTTGATGTGTCTCGCTGTCGGCCTCCCCAGGACCGCGACCATGTACTTTGTCTCCGTCTTTGGCTGCTTCGGGATAGTCTCCTGTGGCGAGAGTCTTGGAATCATGTTCAACACCATCGTCAACCATACCGGCTTCGCCGTCAACATCATGGGAATGTTTCTCTCCATTGCTACCGCCATGGCCGGTGTGCTGTCTATCAACGCCCCAAAGGCTTTCAAGGCGCTCAACTACCTCTCGCCCATCCGGTATGCAACACGCTCGATCGCTCCCTATGCCTTGCGAGACGAAACCTTTTACTGCAAGCCGGGGCAGCAGCTTGCAGATGGTATCTGCCCCATCACGACGGGCAAACAGATTCTCCAGCTGTATGATTTTGACGACAATCCGGTGGTGAACGTGGCGGCTTTGGCTGGGTGCTTGGTTGTATACCGACTGCTGGCTTGGCTCTTGTTGAGGCTGGCGAGGACAAGATGGGGCGGATCCAAGAAATAGGATCAATTGTTATTTCGATTCTTTTGCACATGATGCACTCTGATGCGAGGCCATCTATATAAAGCGCCAGGTATTAATGTGAATAGGTACGCAGCTTGGTAGTAATTTTTTAAGATGTTTCACTGTATCTAGGTACTACCTATCGATAGACGGAGGCCAATCTTTAATCCGGCAACAATATAATACATGATACCTCTGCTGGATGCACCCGTGATCCCTCACACATCAACATGACCAACACACACAATATTACGTTAAGCTCAAACGTTATCCTCTTAACACATTAACTCTCCAATTGTCCATTCCAGCATCCCATCTTCTGTCAGCCACGATCCCTCGACAAATCACATCGTCAGATTCTCGCGCTACCGGTTGACGTCATTTGCACCGAGACATGATCGACGAATGATGGACCGGAATCGCCTCCCTTGCATCTCAGCCTCTGTCCAGACCCCACAAACAAGTGCGGTCAGGCATCGATTCTTTGACTGCACTCGGTACAAAAATAGCAAATGTCTCGCAATCTATACGCATGTATATGGGATCCTACACACTTGACTTCAACTTGGTTCCTCAAATCGAATGCCATTACTACCTATTACCTGGCCGTATATCCCACAAATCTCAACAGTGCTTTCTACGCTGTAATAAATGCAAACCATGTACGTGCAATGCATGTATGCCAAAAAACCAAAACTTAACATGCCAGAAACGCCCGCCCGCTCACACTTGAATATGCCATCTACCTCGTCCGTCTATTCGTTCATGCGCATGTCCCCCGGCTCCAAATCAAAAGCATTGACAAAATCATAGAATCATGCGTTTCGTATCGTTTACAAAGTTCTCTTCTCGGTGATGGACTCGCCAAAGGGCCTGCTAGCGAGAAAGCCGTCGCCGGGAGCCTCCAGATCAAACACCTTGCGGCCACGAAGCCACGTCTCCATGACCCGACCGGTGAATTTGTGGCCTTGCCAGGGTGAACAGCGGTTCTTCCAGCGCATGTCGCCCTGGGTAAAAGTCCAGACGTGCGTATCGTCGAAGACGCAAATGTCGGCGTCCATTCCAACCCTAAGGGCGCCTTTGCGGTGAGAGAGACCGACCTGCTCAGCGGTTGCTTGACAGCAGAGGCGGACCATGTCGACGATGGTTGGTGCCTTGGATGTCTCGGAGCGCTGCTTGGCAGCGGTATGAAGGATGGGCAGGCCGAGGCCGACGGAGGAGATGCCGCCCCAGGCAGCGAAGAAATCACCGCGGGCAACAGTCTTGGTTGGTGGCAGGTCCTTGTGACTGTTGACATCAAGACCCGAATCCGAATGGGGAATTGCAGGTCTCTCGAGGTGGTCGGGCAGCAGTTTCAGCTGAGGTGTACACGGTGAGTGGTCAGAGACGACGGTACGGATACACGAGTCGTCGGCCACCAGCTCCTCCCAGAGGCCGTCTCGGTTATTGGCCTCACGGATGGGAGGGCAGCACTTGTGTCTCGTGTCGCCCTTTTCAATTTCTTCAGCTGATAGCCCCAGATAGTGGAAGCAAGTCTCAGCAGTGATGTTGACTCCCCTCTGACGAGCAGCCTTGAGAATTGGAATCGCTTGCGTCGCCGACAGGTGGACAATATGGAGGTGCAGCGAGGGAGCGATATGGGCATGTGCAAGGATTTCCTCGATAGCATAGGTCTCGAAAGCAGGAGGCCGCGACTCGAGAAATGTGCTGTAGGCAGTCAATTCGCCTTTGGGAGCCGCAGGAGGATCAGACGTTAGGACGGCGTCACCAACAGAATCGGCAATGGGGGGGATCATCTCAGCATGGAACATCAGAGTGGTCGGTTCATGCTTGAGCGTCTCCATGGCCAACGCCACATCCTTGGCTGATACGGCAGGAAACTCCTCGACGCCAGATTCAATGAGGAAGCCCTTGAATCCTCTAACACCAGCCTCTACGAGAGGTTTCAGCTGGTCTGCGTTCCCAGGAATGACACCGCCGTAGAAGCCTACGTCTACCCAGCACTGGCCATGGCTGGCCTTGAGCTTCTCTTCGAAACCCCGAAGAGTAGTCGTTGGTGGGATGGCATTCAGCGGCATGTCGATAACGGTGGTGACGCCACCGCTTGCCGCTGCTCGAGTTCCGGTCCAGAATCCCTCCCACTCTGTTCGGCCAGGCTCATTCAGGTGGACATGAGCATCCACAAGGCCCGGAAGCAACAGCTTGGGAGAGTGGTCTACATAGGTAGCGCTGGGGGGGAAGGCCGAGGCGGGAAGGATCTCGGGCAGAATGGAGACGATTCTGCCAAGCTCGGGAGATATGCATATGGTCGCCGGAGAGAGGACAAGAGAGTTGTCTGGAAGCGTGAGAACGGCTCGAGTCGAGACGAGGACGGTGAGCGGCCCGACGTTGGAGGTGTGCGTGACGGTCATGGCGACAACTACGGCTTAGTCTTCTAGGCCTGTGCGAGTTAAGATGGGCTCCGAGGATGAGAGACCGCTCTTCCAAACGGTCTTTCACGATGAAAGACAGTAAAGCGAGGTGCACAGCCAGAGCACGATAACTTCACAAACTACGGATGAAGAGGGGTAAAGAAGAGAAATAAGAAAGGAGGCAAAGAGACGGGACTTCCAGGCGATGCAAGCCGCATCGTCGGCCGGAGCCGATGACGCTCCAGAGCAGTCTAAGCCATATCGTGGATAGTGGCTGGCAGGCCTTATCGTGGGATACGATGAGCCGGGGCGAAAGGGACAGATAAGAGGGGCCGGAGATGTGATGCACAACAACGCTTACTCTGGAGTTTTTTCTCCCTACTCCTGCTTCCATATCTACGGACAATCTACGTTGCGTACTCCGCAGCTTCTTTCTCGGGGATGGCCGCCAGCAGAGTTGCAAAGATTTTCACAACGCGGGAGGCAAAAACGAGAAGAAAAAATTCTCTAGCGAAAGTGAAGGGATTCGCAGAACCCGGATGATCACTAGCAAAGGGAGAAAGAAAAAAAAAATCCCCACCCCTTATCGGGCTCGTCCGATGGGCCAGAGCGAGGATGAAGATCAGATTGCCAGGCCATCGGAGACTAAAGGCTTGAGCGCGTGACCAATCAGCATTTGATCGAGTAACAATTACTCGAGACGGCGCGACAAGAGGATAAAGCTGAACGACTTCGGCGGTGTCGGGATTGACGATAAGCGAACGGGCTAGTGGAGGCGTTATCAGTTGGTGGATTCAGGGTCCTTATCGGAAGCGCCACGAGAAGTGGCTGAGAAAGAAGAGCAAGCTGGGCGAAAGTCGTGGCTTGTGTGGTAGTTGGGCTGACTAACGAGGTCACGAGGATGAACAGACGAAGAGATGAAGAAAAGAGAAAGATCATATACAGGTAGTTGGGTTGACTAACGAGGTCGCGAGAAGGAACAGATGGAAAGATGAAAAGAGAAAGATGACTAAGGAGGTCACGAGAAAGAACAGATGAAAAGTGAAGAGAAAGGGAGAAAATCGGAGTTGTGCCGTAGAGCCGAGCATTACATAACACGCCGGGAGGAAGAGTGAGACGCTCCACGTGTTCCGCATGGCCTGGCTAATGCAGGCATCTACAGCTCCGGAGTGCTGCTAACTTGCTAAGTTCAAGGTTATTCTCAGGACCAACAACAATCAACGTTGCGGAGCAGCTTCATGCAAGCGACCGTCCAGCCCATTCGCCACAGCCCTGGAAGATGGCCGAGATGATGTGCCCGAGGCTGGCTAGAGACGGGCAATAGATGCCTTGGCACAATCGATGCGAAACAGCGTCCAAAGTGCCGTCTTCCGCGCGTCTACGAGTACGAAGCACGCTCACGCCAAGTCTTTGGTCCAGTCCACGGCCTGATTTGTTGTTGCCCAACTGTCTATAGCCCAAAATACGAGGCAGTGGTGCCTGGCTGGATGATGGATCAGGCTCTCAGCCATGTCTCAGTTGAGGAGATGAAGCCCGTGAGCATGGCCTACTTATATATCGCTGGGACAGACCTCGAAACCGGGGAAGAATCCCTTGCCGCCAACTTGCTGCTAGTACGACCTCAATCGGTCGTTCCCCGCATGAACAAGGCCGTCCTTTCGGCCTAATCACTGTCACTAACACCCAATGGGCGTCTTTTACGACAGCAAAGTCTCCTTAGCTGCCACGGATATCATCCCGATTCGCACGTCCCCGCTGGGAAGAATGAATGGTTAACCACATGCCGGCAGCATGCTATTTCCACTGGCCCTGTGCATGGACGTGGTATCACTCGGGGATAAGTGTATTGAAGTGCCGGCTTGACTATATACGCATCTTGGTCTTCGTCGGTAATATTAGAGTCTCCCGCGTAGGCACCCGGGGAGCCACTGATTTCCCTTGGCGTGCGGACTGCTTGAAATGGCATGCTTCCTGGGCAGGCCAATGACAATAGTTCACGCTATATGCAGCTGTGCGTGCTTTTTCAACCCCATGGGCTGGAACAGTCCATCGGACATGTTGGTCGAGGAACAAGGTAGGTCATATGGCAACACGTGTTAATGTGCTACGAAGAAGTATCTTGGTTTTGTCAACCCAACGTCAGGGGTGCAGCCATTAGCTTGGAGACGGATCTAAGACCCAAATCACACATGATGGCTGCTGGGACTTGATTGGAACCCAAGTGGGTGGGAATGTCTCAAGCTGGGCTCGTATCGTGATGATGTAGGAGTGCAAGGCAGTACAGGATGCACTCTGGCTCTCAGCGAAGAAAGCAGGATACAAACACCTAGACGTCGAAGGATTTTTATCCCGGTGGTTCATCATGCCGAATCAAGACGCAGTCGGTAAACCTGTGGCCCCTTTTCCCCGACCTGACGCTGTCGTGGCTCGAGTCGAGCCTGGTGCTGAACTTCAGCTTGCAGTCTACTTATGCATCCTTGCTTCTTTTAGCGTACACACTTACTTCAGCCTCACAATCTCGCGTATTCACGCTGGCATCAGATCTACCACGTTCTTGTTTAAGCATGTGAACCTGGTGTTTGAGTCTATCTGTTCGAAGCGGTGAGTCGTTACCGTTTTGCAGGAGCATATGTACTACGTGGTGCTCATACATGACGCTAATTGATTATATATAGTCTAGTGATGGCCATCTCGGGCGTCTTTGCAAGAGATTCTACCTATTGGGCCATTGTCTTGTGTGCCTCCCGCAGCCGGTGTGCCAGGAGACCCATGCTTGCAGTTCACGCTTTACCCCGACAAGGTTGTGCGGCATTCAATGGTCCCTTGCTTCCTGCCAGCTTCGCAATAGCATGTGCCTAGCGTTGCTGCCCGAAAGTCATATACGGGGAGTTGGATGTTTTCATCCTTCTCGGCCAGAGGGGTGAATGTATGGCCCAGTCATCTTGTTAAAGCTTCACCCAAGGTTTGAGAGATGATCAGTTTGGTGGCACGAAACTTGTCAGCTCTTGCTTATAGGGCAAGTGAATGGCCCATTCAGTCATCAGAGCTGAGGGGAGAGGGGAGAGGGGGGTTAGACTGCTTTTCCCAACACTCCCGGATTCGCACACCAGCTAGCCGGACAAGATAGCCGCCCTCCCCGATCGCTGCTAGTTCAGCAGGAGATGTCATCACATTGGCTAGTGCTAACTGGTGGTACTTTGTGCGTGTGTGAACGAGTCCAATCGGCCATGGCCATATACGCGCCAACGAAGAGGGGGCGGCTACGCCATGGCGATTGTCTGCCTGGTTTGTGAGACATTGATCGGCTAAGGCAGTTGTCAAAAGAGGGGAGATGATGGCCGGAGGAGGCCTTGGTCATGACGGGAAAGGTCGAGACCCAGGGACCTTGCAAGCACCTTGGAGTTGACTATATATGAGGCGAGGAACCCTACACGTCCTCGTCTTTTCTCATCAGTCTTGCATCATCCCCTCCTCTTAATCCAAACCCTCAAACGAACCTCTTGTCTCTTCTTCTTCTTCTCCTTCGTCTTCTTTCAGCCATTGTTTACTTCGAACAAGAGATTTTTCGACTCTCATCAACACCACAAACGGAATCAAAACCCCTGCTGCATTTGCATCGTCACACCTGAGATCTCTCAGAGATCAACCATGGCACCCAACACAGATACACACATGCACCCCGTCCCCGAAAGCGACCAAATCCTCCCGCTACATGGCACCCTGGACACGGCTAGCTTCCATCTGCCGACCATCCCCCCGGGTCCCACGGGGCCCATGTCGATGACATCCTATGTCACACCGCACATGCAGCCCTTTCCGACCAACTATGCCATCGGGGCGCCGGCCATGTGGGCTGCCGCGGCCCCCCCTCCGGCTTATTTCCCGTACATGATCGACGCTGCTGGTCAACGTTGGGACGTCGCTTCTTATTCTGATTGCAAAGCCGACTCTGGAGTTGATCAGATCAACGGAGTGGTGATAGTCTGCGACCCGGGGTCCAATGGTGAGGACCTCCAGGCTCCCCGGGGGAAATACTATTACAACGGCTGCAAGAAGCTCGGCACGGGATCACAAATCAACGGCATTGAGATTGTACATCACGGCGGCTCCCCGGCACCGGCGGCGCCCGCTATGCCCGGCCGCTGGGAGAAGATGGACATGCTCACTGCGGAGGGCAGGGAGATTAAGGGGGCGCCCAAGAACCAGATTAATGGTGTTAGGGTTAGGCTGATGAAGAGGTCGGAAATGGGGACCTCGACTTAGATTGGGGGTTTTTAGACGGTTGTTTTGTTACAAATATTGTGTACTTTATATATACCAGCCGATGTCGAGATGATCGAATAGGCACATGAATTGAGAGCGTTTTTGCCTTTTTTGCTTTTACATCCTCTCAGTATATCCAAGTATATTGTGACCAACGACGATAATGTCTAAATGAGCAGCTATAACTACGATGAACATTATTTACGTTGCTCCAAAGCACTGATTGGGCCATCGATCTGGTATCATAGAGCATTAGACACCTGAACAAGGAGATACACATGCCTCCAATCACCAAATCCCACGTCTCCTCTCCACTCTCAGAAGCGAATGGCACCCCAATGGATGCAATACGAGTACACGAATCAAGTCCTGACGATTAATCGCTGTTTTCCCATTGACGAACTGGCTGATCTATCGAAAAGTCCGGCTTCCCGTCCCCCCTCCTTTTGGGCATCCATCCATCGTATGTGCACCCCATCCGTGCATCCGTCAATCATAAGATCTCTATTTCCAATACCTACCCAAAAGGCCTCTTTGAATAATTCAGTTTCCGCCTTTTTATTTATATCTTTTTGTTTGCAAATCAAATAGCCGACCTGGCGTGCCTTTCTATCAACATCTGCGTGTGTACCCTATAAGTGGTGATTCGACAATCCCGTATTTTTTTTTAAAAGTTCCTTGCTCTCACACAAGAAAAAAGAAAAAGAAAAAAGAAAAACAAGTGCAAATGGCCCCCTTTTCTCCATCCAAACACCATGCCCTTTTTTGTTCCCCCATTCTTTTTTTCATGCCTTTTTTTTAGTCTCCCTTCTCATTACATATTTACCCTTTTTTCTTAGCCCAAGAGTGGAATAATGGTACAAACGCCGGAACAGTATGTTGGTCTACTCCCCCTCGCGTGGCCTTGTTTTCAGGTTTGCTGCGGTGTTTTATCAGCTACCTGAGATTGTGATGCATGTGACTGGTTACTTTTGGCGCTGGATCGTCTTGTGAGCCATTTCAATGAGGCCATCTTTAGCCTCGCTGTCGGGGAAGTCGGCAATGGCAGCAACCGCCCTCTCGGAGTAGTCGTAAGCGAGAGCTCGCGTCTGCTCGATGCCGTCGCTCTGAAGGACCAGTTGGCGAGCCTATAACGTTTGTCAGTCACTTTTCTGATTACCATTCACTGCGTGTAAAGCTCAAAGCTCACCCTCTGGACGTCTCCCTCTTGGGCAAACTTGCGCCCAACGAGGGCTCCAAGCTCCGGCATCTGCTTCCAGGCAAACAGCAGCGGTGCCGTGGCCAGTCCCAGCTCCAAATCGGCTCCTGCGGGCTTGCCCAAGTCTTGCCCGCTTCGGGTGTAATCCAGCATGTCGTCCACCAGTTGGAATGCGAGGCCCAGGTTCCGTCCATACGAGTAGGCGGCCTCGACCGTGTGCTGGTCCGCATTGCCGAGCAGCGCCGCCGCCCGGCAGGACTTGGAAATCAAGCTGGCGGTTTTGAGATAGGTCTTTTGCAGGTAGTAGCTCAGAGTCTCCTCGGACCACTTGGGGCTGCGCTCGTCGCGCTCTGTGTTCTTGAGCTGCATGAACTCGCCCTCGACAAGGTTGGCGATGACCGTGGCCAGCAGCTCCACCACCTCGGCGTTGCGCAGTCGTGCCAGCGCAACGGACGCCCTGCCCAGGAGGAAGTCTCCGGCCAAGACAGCCATCTTGTTGCCAAACTCCAGATTGGCCGACGGCGCACCTCGTCTGGACACCGAGTGGTCAATGACATCATCGTGTAGCAGAGACGCCGTGTGGATCAGCTCTGTGATTTCCGCCAGTCGTCTCTGGCTCGGGAGGATGTCGAGGTTTGCCGACTCGGCCGCTTCGCTCTCATACGCCGTCGAGCTTGTCATTGGGTTGACGTCGCTTAGGATCTGCATGGGGGATATTGACGTGTCGATGCCCCTCGACGTCTCGGGAGCTACATCGCGCGGGCTCTTGGGACACAGGTGAGTGGCTCGCGACATGAGCAGCACAATGAGCGGCCGCACATGCTTGCCCTCGGCCTGCGTATAATACTTTGCGACTCGATCGAGGGCCGGGTGGCCTGATCCCAGCAGCTTGCGGATGTTGCCGGTCAAGAACTTCATCTCCTTGGCCACGGTTCGCAGCGGATCAATCGTCATGGAGTCTTTGGCGGCTCGCTTTGCAACATTGCCCACCATGTTTGTGGCCACCTGAACGGCGGCGGCCCACGCAGAGCCGCGGTTCGAGCTCGAGTGCAGCCCGGCCTGCTGGATGGTCAAAACCCTCCAGGCGGCGCTCGAGGCCATCATGGGCCGGTGGCAGACGAGGCATGTGGACGCTCCCACTCGGCCGGCATCGCGAAGAGCCGCCGAAGCTCCCGCTCGGAGCCTCATCTGCGGCAGGTCTGCGGCAAGTCTCTTGGCAATCAAGCAGAGACGAGCTGGTCTTTTGCACTTTTCGCAGCGTCTGGGCGCTGGCTGGGGAGAAATTGGGGTGGTCGAGAGCCGCAAAGTCGCGCAATCAAGTCGTCAGATCTGGTGGTTTGAGTCGCAAATCCAGCCGTCCGAAACTTTTGCACGGCTCTGGGCCGAGGGGCAGCTGGGCCTATCGCAGCTGCTCATTGGCTGGTGCTCCCCGGCGATAGGCCCTGGAGCACAGGGGCCGCGAGCCCTGTAACGCTGCTGCACGACAGCGCTGTAGCGGTTCCATGTTCCCTACTAAGCAGTTCCAGTTCCCGTAGCGCTCCGTGCGAACGCCCGCGACTATGAGCCTAGCGTCGTTGGTCAGCCCGGCCGGCAATCACAATTGGCACCCAGCGTCCCTTGGAGTAAGCTTCCGCTAGAGAAAAATGCCCCGCGCCGTAACCCGTAGCTTGCATCCCGCTATTCGTACCTGATGGTGATGAATGGATTGATGCTTTTGCGCCTTGACGGCTTCACACGGAACTCTGCTTGCACGTCATTCGCGATAACAGGATAAAGCACCCTCGCTCGACATGGTGCTCTTGACGATGACGCCGTCCATTGTGGACGCGCTGAAGCTGCTGGGCGAGCAGCGCAAAGACGACGAGCCCGACAACGATGCGAGTCAGAATCAGCCCGAAGCCGAATCATCGACAGAGCTAGCAGTGGGCAATCCCATCTCCCACAGCGATATAATCGGCCTTATCAAGAAGCTCGGTGCTTCACAGTCATCACCACCCAAATACAGCCTGGAGCAGCTTCTCCAGGGATCTCGCGTCTATATCCCACCACCACCTCCAAAACCTGAACCGGTACGTGCCCATCCGTGTCATTGATTGGCAAGACGATGACTTACTCATACCTCTACGTACCCTTAGTCTGAAGAATTCAAGGCCCTCATGGCCCGTCTTCGCCGCGAAGAAGATGCCCGGGCCTACGAACGCATGATCAACCCGCCGCCTCCGCTCGAGACGTTCCAGCACCGGTTCCCCAATGCCGCCCACGCCTTTGCCGAGGCCAACCGGCCCTCCAACTCGGAGGATCTGGGCGACGACGAGGTTACATACAATGAGATTCATCGCCAAGTGATGCTGATAATCAATTTTCTCGTCAGCGTAGCTGGAGTTGCGGTTACACTCTGGATTGCCGGCCGCTGGTGGAGTCTGTCGTCTCGAATATTCCTGTCTCTTGGCGGGAGCATACTGGTTGCCATTGCAGAAGTAGCAGTTTATTCAAGCTACGTGTGGAGGATGGGCGAGGCGAAGAGCAAGCAAGGCGCGGTCAAGGAGATTAAGGAAGTTGTCCAGACGTGGATTGTGGGACAAGGAGAGGGCGACGACAAGAGTGTCTTGCTAGAAAGCAAGGACGAAGGGGACGAGCAAGTCAGGAGGAGGATCCCGACAACCCAAACAAATAATCCAGACTCGTGAAATTTGAGTCGGCCACCCATTGTTTTTGTATATTATTTGCAAGCGTTGTGTTCATTCATACCCTTCTCCAAATGGCTGCACCGATTCTTAGTGGTAGTACGAAGTAGATGGGTAGCTTGCCATGAATCGTCCGATATATGCCGTCATCATTCTGAGCAATTCAGCCAAGCTCTCAAAGTTGCTGACAAAGTTGATTCCGTCTATAAATATTCATTAATACCTATGTAACGCATCGCATATTATTGACGGCCTGGTTGTATGTATGTACTCGCAAGCTCCTCGGCGAGATGAAGCGGGTGTGCATGTGACATCGCGTAAAGTGATTGCAATCGCGTCTCGACGCGTCTCTACGTGGGGCCAATTCTCGTGAGCACAAGCTTGGCGCCAGCATCAATCAGGCTGTTTTATTTGCCTGGGCTCTATGCCGAGATACTCTTTCGTCTACCAATTGCGAAATTGCAAATACCTTCTCACGAGGGAGCGCTGTCACACTTTAACCAAGTACAGCCAATCTTTATTTAGTCAATATCTGTGCACATTACCTAGTAACCACCGCGAAATCTGAGCTACACAACTGCCATACGCTTGGAAGCAGCCATGGTGAGTTCTTCGCCTGAATATTCAATGTAAGTTCTTATTATTGCATTCTTCTGCGTTAGGTTGTTTACTAATGCGGCGCTTCATCAGAACAAAGCCGGGACTGCACCATCACCAGCGCAAAAGGGAGAAGAAGCCGCTCCGCACCTACGGCAGACAACCCTCAACCCCTGAAGCGCAAAGCGAACCGCCGTCGAAAAAACAACGATTATCCGCGCTCAATCAGCAACAGGAGAAGCCAATCTCGCCAGCGCATACCTCGGACAATGTCCCCAAACCCGATGATGCAGCGGTAACAGCCGCATCGGAGGCAAAGACAACACAAGATGGCCCACACCAAAGCAAAACGGAAACACGCGCCCAGTCTCCCAAAAAGAGTTCCATCCTGAGCTACTTCAAACCAGCTCCCCCAAAACCCAAAGACGATCTGCCATCCCAGTCACAGGCAAAAGGGCCAATCGCTCCCAAGGCGTCGCCAGGACGGAAACCCTCGAAACGGAAACCTCGACTCCTCAAGATCAAAGCCACCACTCACCAATCCTCTCAAGAATCAGATTCTCACTCCCTTCAACCACGCGATCCTCTCCAAAACGAAACCCCCAACACAACATTATCCAGCTCAACATCCCCCTCCCCAACCCCGGGACAATGGAAATCCTTGTCAAAGACACGCCCTCCCTCCATCCAGACCACCCTCAACATCTCCGCGCAGGCCGCCTTCTCCGAGTGCAAGATCTGCGACACCGTCTGGAACCCGCTGTACCCTGACGACGTGAAATTTCATAACAAGACACACAAGGCCGTGCTCAGGGCGCAGAAGCGCAAGGTGGATGATTTGTGATACTAGAAGGGGAGTGGTTTTCAAGTTTTGCATAGAATACTTTACGAGAGCGATTAGGTGTTGCTTATTTTGTTCGGGTGGCGCGGCAATGCAGCTGATCTAGATTATTCGGTATCATGGACTGGCAGAATATCATTTAATATCACACGTGATTCTCAATGTCAATGGTAGAATAAAACACCTTTTGACTCTTACACATACATTGGTTCAGCCTCAGCCGTAACGCATCACACCCAGAAGCAACTCAAACCACTCATTATTACATTCGTTGGCATGAACAACTGTCTCAGTCTCCTTCACAGAATAGGTATCATTAACCACTCAAAACAATCGGACAAAAAAAAAGAAAAACTCCTCAATTCTCCCCCAATGTTTGTCTTCCCTTCTCCTCACCAATCCCAGATACTCCCGTCTACAAACTAAGCAGCAGACTTTCCATCGCCGCCCGTGACACCAACTTCCTGCGCCTGGTGCTTCTCGACCGGCGCGGACGTGGCCACGGGTGACTTGGCATCGGCCTCGACCGCCTTGGTCGCAGCCGCCGCCGCCGCAGGAGCCGGTGCCACGGGAGAAGTCATGGTGGGCGACGACGTGGTCACGGGAGACGCGGGCGTCGACAGAGCAGGGCCGGCGTTGGTGACGCCCTGGATGATCTGGAACCAGCGCTGGGCGTCGGCGGGCGTGTGGGCCTTGAAGCTGAGCTCGGAGCTGCCGGTGAGCTTGCTGCTCAGGGTGCCGCTCTTGTCCTTGCCCTTGATGTTGAACTTGTCGGCGCTGGGCACGCCGATGACGGCGTCGGGGAGGTAGATGGACAGCTCGGGCTTGGGGTCGTTGCGGGTGTCGTCCGAGTCCTTGAACTCGTGCAGGTACTTTGAGGGCGAGACGACGTAGTAACCCGTGGAGTAGCCAAACGACAGCTTGTTGCGCGACTTGCGCTCGAGCGAGCCCTCGATGAGCGCCTTGGTCGAGGCGTGCTCCATGTTAGGGAACTGGATGGCGTCGACGGAGCGCGGGGGGTCGTTTGCGCTGACGAGGCGGTCGGCGGCGCGGTGCTGGAAGTTTGTCCACTCAAAGTCGCGCGGGATGCACTGCACGGTGCCGAGGATGTCGCTGTTGAGCGCGCGCATCTTCTCGCCCTGGCTGCCGACCAGCTGGGTGAAGCCCTCCATGGCCTGCTGGACGACCTCGAGGACGTGCGCCTCGAACGTGCGGAAGTTGTTCTGCACCGACACCAGGTCGTTGCGGTGGTTGTTCTCGGCCAGCACCTGGTTGTGCAGGCGGTGCGTGACGCCGCGCCGGACCACGTAAGGGTCCTCGTGGCTGTTGGTCTGCCTGCCGCCGTGCGAGTCGTAGGCGGCCGACTGCTGGCCGAGCAGCTCAATGTGCTTCTGCGTCACATTGCGCAGCTTCTCGACCTCCTTGGCCGCCGCCTGCGCGCCGCTCGCCAGCTCCTTGGCCTTGTGCTTGATCTCCTTGTGCAGGCGGTCGAGGATGGGCCGCACGGAGCCCTTGATGCTCTTCTCCGTCTCGATGTTGGTGTTGATCATGGCCTGGGTGTTGGCCCGCATGTTCTCGAAGAAGCCCGCAATGCCGCCGAGGCTCTGGTCGAAGTGGTGGCCCTCACGCAGGGGGTTCGAAATGGTCTGTTGGGAACGCCCGCATGTCAGTAAACAGAAAGATGGAACAAGAGCATTGGCAAGCTGTCAAAGGGGGTGCCATACCTTCAAGACCTTCTCGTACTCCTTTGCCTGGCGGCCATGGACCTTCTCCACGGACTCGACATACTCCTCGAGATATCCCACCATGTGTTTCCACGCCTGGAGACGCTCTGCAAGCAATCCGGCGGTCTAACATGTCGCTTGATTAGCCGCACGCACGCACTTTCAACCTCAGCAAGACAACAAGGCTCTTTTTCTCCCCCGCTGAGCATATGCAGTGTCACGTACAGTAGAAGGATCCGCCTCGGGAATAGCATCGTCGCTCAGCCCCGTCGTCGCGCGCGACGGCAGCGTAGTGGTAGTCGGCGAAGCATTCGACATTGTGAAAGAAATAGTTATGTAACTCTTGTTGCGGGCAGAGGTATTAAGAAGAAGAAAAGATGCAAACCCAAGGTTCGATAGGGATCCAGAAGAAGAAGGAAAAGGTAAAAAGAACAAAACGTAGCAAGGAGTAAGTAGGTAGTGTAGCAAGAGAGAACAAGCGCGCAAAGGAGAGAGAGAGAGTCACTGATTTACGAGGTTGCAGTCCATTGGATATTAAATGAGGAGGGACACAAGGAAAAAAGCCATTGGCGGTCACTGGCTTTCCCACTCCCACTCTCTCCCCTTGTCATGTCATTGCATGTTTAACCACAAACTGCTCTAGCTGGGGAGGGTCCAGTTCCAGGCCGCGCAGCATTTGGGAAAACGGACCATTGAGCTTCCACAGCCTCCATCGTGGAGCGGGAAAGAGAGAGAGAGAGAAAAAAAAAAGGGCCAGCCAGCCATGGGGGCGGGTTTGCCACTTTTGGCGGATTGTGGTAGCGCCATGTGTCGGTTTGTTTTAGCCATTGGATCGCGATGATGATCCATGACCGAGGTTTGCGATCATCGGGTTGCCGTTTACTACTACTAGCTCCGATACTTCTCTGGTCGATGATGCTGTAATTGAACATGTGAACAACCACCACACTTTCAGCTCCCCACGAAACTCGGCAACAAAACAATGCACCTTCAATTGCCTCAACATCCAAGACAACGCACTGCATGTTCCAGATCCAGCAAAAAAAAAAAAAAAGGTCATCGTCTCATTTTGCCAGAGTGGGGGGTTTCCAGCGTTCAGCACCGCAAGGGGATACGAAATCAAACCACGTACCTACGTACTCGTATTTGCTGCCGATAGTAGTACCTTATATTCCCTATCTGGGTAATTTCGTCGGCTCTTCAACAAACCCGGTGAGGCCTCACTCACAACCATCTGTCCCTCCCCTCCAAAAATCGATCGTGAGTTCTCACAGATGCTGCATGTTCCAATAACCCTCCAAATCTTGATTTTATTTTTTTCCCCTTTGGGCGCATTCCCCCTCTACACCAAAGTAGTTCTATCTTAGTGTCGCCCGTGACGTCAGTTTGCACCGACCAGTTTGTTGGTCTCAAGGAGAGACTTTTCCGGCGTGGCTGCACAAGTTCGATGCTGTAACTTGTATCATCTTGTTCAACTCGATCGGGCTGCTCGTGCAGTATACTCTGCACATACAACAAAAGCTTATCCATTGCGTCAGGCAAAAAGCCACAGACAACCATCGAGGCCAATAAGGATCAATTGGCATCAGTAGTCCCTGCATAAGTAGGATTTGCCCCTGAGCCATGAGGGGCCCGACTGAAGTGCAACGCCACTTGCATAGATTGATTGGCAGCAAAAGGCGCCGTTGGTGATGTCGCATTTCAGCACAGAAGTCACAATCACGGCATGAGGAAATGAGATGAGGTCCAGGGATGGAAGAAGGACGCTGACGTATTCGTCCATCAGCGTCGTTGCTATTGCTATACTAATGTTTGTGGGTGTTTCATAGACACTCAGCCCCGACCAGGCCGTTAATTGCGTGCCCAGAGAAAGAAAAATGACAAGTCATGATAACCTCTATCCGCAGATGCCCAAGTCTATAGATTGTATCCTGAAAAAGAAAGAAAGAAAGAAAGCCACGTATAAATCGCTAACGCCTGTAAACACCAACCAACCTGCATGCCCAACCAAAAGTGATAGATAAACAGAAGTCGAAGAAAGACAAGAGAAGATAGTCGTATATGTGGCCGTATACGTATGGAAACAAGATTGAAATAAAAGGAATGAAAAGGGGGGATTCGTTCGCTTCGTGATGCAAAATCAAGGCTGTGCAATCGGCTCCCTCTCAAACGGCCTGGTCTCTGGCGCGGAACAGATGTAGCCTCCGATGCGCCGACGTGTCATCCGAGTTTGAACGGGCCATGGGAGGTGACAGGGCCCGCGCAACGCTCTGCATGTGTGTCTCGCGCACCTCGCCAGCTACATGCTCGGTAATTGTCGCCAGCGCATCGTTGCTGTTGTTGAGTTCCATGTTCGGCGGCGTTCGCGGAGCGCTCAAGGCCGTTTGGTAGTCGGGGACGAAGACGCCCGTTTGCGTGCGAGACCGCGCTGGCGTTTTCACAGCCGTGGAATAGCTCGGCACTCTGTTCAGCTCGGCAAACTCCGCAACATCCACCTGGACTCGTTCTGCCGAGCTCCTGGAACTGGATTCATCCTCCTCGCTGTTCGTTCGGCTCAGATGAGCTGGTGTATGGGGTGTGTGAGGCGTGTGGGAGCTCTGGCTTGTCCCGTGTGTAGGTGAATTCCTCCCAGAGGCAACGTGTAGAGACTGATATGAGCTGTTTCGCTGCGACGGGTCGATGGAGACATCGGCCAATCGAGAAACGAGAGCAGCCGGTGTGATGGGTGCGCTGTTGGCCAGGACCGACAGGTTTTCCGAAGAACCCGTCCGAGAATGTCCGTAAAAGGGGCTGTTGAAGCCAGAGTGCACGGCTGGCGTCTGAAATCCGGTCACGTCCATTTCGTCGTAAAGCTGGTCGAGCACATGTTCGCCGTATCCGGGAGGCGCAATCATTCCGATGTCTTGTTCGAGTGTCGCACCTCCGGGAGCCTGATTGACCAGGTTGCCTTGTTCGTCGAACGGAATGTTGGGCGAGATGAAGATGGAAACCGGGAGCGTCGCTCGCAACTGTCGCATGCATTGTTAGCCAAATGTCTCACTTGCCCTGAGCTGAGCTGAGCCGAGCCCACACAACCCCCTCATCGTTGTGAAACACTTACCTCGGAAATGTGGCCGTCCGGGTTCCTGAGTGCGACGGTGAGCTTGATCTTGTGCCTGACTCTGATTCCGTGGTGGTTGAGATCCTGGATGCATTGGCGCAGCTTCTTGGGCAGAGGGAGCGGCTTGTTCAGCAGCCAGCCCTCCTGTCCGCTGTCTTCAATCATGTCGTGCCAGTGCT